AAAACTAACACATGTTGTGTTGTGATTACGTCATCCGTTTCTGTCACTAAATGAAATACTCTGCACGCGACACATTTTCCCTGCAATAATTATGCGCACCATGAGCAGATTCAGCAATGCTTGGATGGATACGAGGGGATTTATGACAATGAGCTGAGCAGGCAAAGGCAACAGACTGTATACAGACGTGCGAGGAAGCTAATGGAGGGGTTAATTTATCCCAGCATGTGATAATTGACCTTTAATTGTATCAATAGAGAGATATGCTCCAATTCCCACAGAGATAGTAAGTCAGTAAATAATCTTTATTTATATAGCACAGACCAGACTCACAAAGAGCTTTTGTTGTGGGCGTGTGTCTCTGACTCGACAGAGATGGGAGCGAGGTGCTGTAGTACAAACAGTGTTGGGGAGTAAGGAACACATGGATCACCATTAAGATAATAACGGCTTATTAAACGAGCAAGCGAGGTTAATAAATGTTTTATTATATGACTATTTTTAATTTGAGCAAATATCGATTGGTTTCAACTAAAAACACATGCAACCAAACTGTCAAATGGTGACATGGAGAACTTATCAGATGATTGAGGCGCCCGCTGTAAGTTCTCAGTCTGTGTTTTTACCGATGTTTTTTAGATATTTGTGAAGTATGTTCATGTCCGACTTGGTTTCCCTAATCGTGTTTTTACCTTTCTGTTCTGTAACGAAGTTGTCAATCTCTTCTTGACTGTGAGGAGTTGTGTTTTTGTCGTTATTTGCTGTTTTTACTTCCTCTGGCTCTTCCAACTCGTCTGGATCAGAGAATTCACTGGAGAATGCTCCCAGTCGTCGCTCATTATTTATTATTTTTTTACAGAGGAAAGATATCAGATGTGATACGCGCTGCGGCCCAATTGTCACGGTAACGGTCCGAGATGGGAAAATATCAAACCGCAAATCAGCCAATCAGAGCGCGCGTACGATCCAAGTCATATAATAAGATTTCAGATTTCTTCATTTGTCGCACAGTGGGCCAGTTTCAAAATACTCTTTCTGAGTAACTGTATTGCACTACAGTTACTACTTTAAAGTCTAGTGTTTAGAGTACAGTTACTTTCTGAATATCACGGGAATACATACTTTCACATTACGTTTTAAGGTAAAAAAAAATAAAAAATAGATAAAAAGAAAACATTGGGTGTTCTTAACCCTCTGGGCGCCACGATTGACTTAAGTCGACAATATGCGGTACTGTTTAAAACAACCGATTGTGTCAAACAGGGTGTCAACATTCATTCAAACTCTTGCTATAATGTTTTGCACTGTTTTACTATTTCCTGACCCTTGTGTGTGGCACAGAGTGAGTTCTGGTTGTGTGTTCATGTCCTAGTGATCTGTGTCTGTCAGTAAAATAAATATAAATTTCATGAAAATCCATGATTGCTACCACCATATGAAGTCATAACATTGCAATTATATGAGTACATTTAGTTCCTACATAAACTTTGGGTCATTCTTATCATTTCTCTGATTTACATAAAGTCTCAATCTCTTATCACTTTTAAGTTATTAAGAAATTAAGATGTCAAAATCTCAAAAACCTCTGGCGCCTAAAGGGTTAAAGGTCGAATCATGTTGTATTTATTTCACAATATAAGGTTATATATGTTTTCTTTGCTTGAATGTAGTTTGTCATGTAAGATTATTTTACTAGTTTTAAGTTAATAATACTTCATAAACTTATTAAAGAAAAAAGTATTGTTTGAACTATTTTGTCTTATTTCCAGATAATTTTTCTTGTCTAGATAATTTAAGTTTGTAAAGACATAGTACATACTTTTTACATTACGTTTTAATGTAAAAAAAAAAAAAATGTTAAATGCAGCTGTTGAATCAGGTTTTTATTTATTTCACATTTTATAACATTATTTATTTTATGTTTACGTTTATTGAGGTTGTAAATATCTCTAAATTTACCTTTATACGTTTTGTAAAAATACAAAATAATTTAAAATAAATATAATTATCGTGTTAATTATCGTGTAGTCGTTTTTTTCCAAAGTAACAGGATGCCTTACTTAAAATACGTTATATGTATTATTGAAAGTATTCTACCCAACACTGAATAAACTGCTTCTGCTCCTGAATATAGAAAAGCTAAAACGCCATAATTTGAATACACCTTGTCTTTTTGCCTGTGATGTGGTTCATGAAGTCCTAGAGTGAGACGGCTGTGAGAAGCTCAGGTTTCCATGTGAAGACGCAGGTTGTATACATTTACTGACTGTATTTGTCAACAATACCATGGCATCTTCATAATATCACAGTGCGTGTGTGTGTGTGTGTGTGTGCGTGTGTGCGTGTGTGTGTCTTCCATGGCCGAGAGAAGATTTACAGCAACTTTATTGACGCCGAGCAAAAGGCAGCGGCAAATAAGTCTTTGAAATTTGGCTTTTTTCTTTTAACCCGATGACCTCCGGCACAAATGGACGTTTTTCCATAAAATTCCTGGAGTGATTCAAAAGCACCCAAAATAGGATCTCATTTTGCAGTATTGCCCTCCCCGTTTTTATTTTGTATAAAAGTATGATTGTAAGTGTTGTAAGAGTCGGGTGTATTGTGTGTGGATGGATCTGTGCTTGGTCCAAAAATAAGTTTTCCACGAATCCTGAGTTCTTCAAATGATGTTTAATTTCCATCTCCAATAAGGCGTCGATGCACTGCAGCGTTTATGTTCTCCATCATAATGTAACTTCAATGCCGGTAACTGAATTTGTATATCAATTTGAATCAGACCTGTAGCTACACTAGAAAAAAATCCCTTGAAAAAATACACAAAAAATATATGAAAACAAGTAAAATGCTGCTGAAAATAATAAAAATGATCTGCCAATAGAACAAGAAAGTGTGACTTGACAAGAATTCTGAAAATAAAAAAAATAATTCTAGCCCCAAATGACTTGATTCTGGTTTAAAAACATACATTTCAATTATTATTTACTTATTTGCAAAAAAGACAAATTGAGAAATGTTTTCTCAAGATACAGAAAAACAAACTTATTTCATATAAACAAGACAAGTTGTCTGGAAATAAGAACAAAATACTTTTTATGATCTTAAAACTAGTTCAATAATCTTACAGTATATGAGAAACTAAATTAAAGCAAAAAAAACCTTCATTTACGCATCATTTATGTTATTTTTAGATTGGTATTGCAGCATTTATAGCAGGCTAAGAAACCCATCCATCCATTTTCTTCCCCTTAATCCATTTCTGGGTCGGGGGGGTGGCCGGAGATGCTGTCCAGTCCACAGAGCACCAGCCCCTCACTGATCCTCCTGCAGGTGCTGAGTCCACAGGAGCCTTTCAGGAGTCCTTCAGTGGGGGCTTCAGGCAAAGTGGGGTTAAGCGTCTTGCCCAAGGACACAACGACAGCAGACAGCCACTGTCGCCCGTAGCTAAGAAACGTGTATTTGTATATTTTGTGTGCTCTCTGTGTGCATCCACTACTGTCCTGTATGTGCGCTGCAATATTGAAATTTCTCCACTGTGGGACAAATAAAGGTTCTCTTATCATATCTTATACATATTACCAAGATTTTACTTTTTTCAGTGCAAAGAAAATGGGTAAAAGTAAGAAATGTAAAAGTATATGCTTGTCTATAGGGTTACGTCCTTTGTTATAATTACTGTCAATAAAATATAAAAAACTTGCTAACAGTGTGTTGTCCGTCATAGTGATATCGTAATCTCCCGTTCACTAACTACATTCAGACTCAGTTAAGACCACAGGTACGTTTTTTTCCCAGAGTAAGAACATTGTAAGGTGAAAAGGTAGGATGCATGCGATAGACGAGGGTGGATTATGAAAATATCAGAGAAGAATAAGAAAAAGGGATTTACATAAAGCAGTGTGTTTGAATGGATTCTCCTGCAAACAGAGTCGGTATATCTGATGGATTTGTGCCGAGCGTATCTGCCCTATGGGAATGCACCGGGGAGCGAGGCGTAATGTTGACACAAGGATAAAGGTATTACACAAAGTGAGCAAAAACACTGAAAGATTGGGAGATTCTAGAGGAGAAAGACGGAGAATCATTTGGGACGGTTGGATTGAACAAAATAGCAGATGTCTATTTGAGAATGTGGAATTCCAATCAGGATTATGGAGCTTTTGCGCAAGTTCACCGTGGTAGACCCGGCTGCTGCTGCCCAGCTCTACAGGCCTGCTCTCATCCTCGGCTCATCGTACCAGCAACGCCCACATCCAGTCAACCAATAACCGCCAGGACAGCAAGTTAAAAGCCGGAGACGCCCACTTCCCGGCCTTCTCAAGTCTGCAAGCCTCCGCCGCCCCACCTCCTCCTTCTCTCATTGGAGCGTGCTTGCCTGCTGCCTCTGCCGCCACCAGTGCCTAGGCCAGGGGTGGGCATACTTTTTGGCTTGTGGGCCACATTGGGTAATTTTTTTTTACAGGGGGGCCGGTTCAGTAGCGTTTGGATAGCGTTAATACTAAATCGCTACATGTAGAGTGCAAACCTTATAGCACAGTAAGCACTTGCAAAAAAACTTCAATAAATGCACTAACATTGAGCACTGCATCTTTCAAATGTGCAAAATAGTCCTGATCCTGGTAGTACATTTGTCTTGATGACTATGCAAGATACTGCATTTACACACTATTGGACACCATACTGGGAGAAGACAATGTAAATAGATTAAAATATACTCCGATCTATCAAACCTGGAGATTGCATTTGATTTAAATACAATTAAAGGCGTAAAGTTAAATAAATCAACATTTATTGAAATAACATGAATTATATTACTTTTAACCTTCACACTTGTGATGCAACATCGACATATCCTCACTGTGGGACAAATAAAGTGATCTCTTAATCTTAATCAAACATATAATTACCCAACTCTTTTTTTAATGCCAACTTAATCAAAACACGCAATTTCAACCTTTCCAAATGTATTTTTTGTCATGACACAGTAGAAAAACTCACCACATTCAGTGGGAACAGTGTTGTTGGTCTCCCTTCTTAGCCAGTGCATCAAAGTCTGGGGCTAGTTTTGTTGTGGCAATTCTCAAGATAGATCTGAGATGTTGGTCCGTTAACTTGGATCTGTGACGAGCTTTGTTGATGTTCATGACGCTGAACGTCTGCTCACACACGTATGTTGAGCCAAACAACACTATCATCTCCTGTGCCAATCTCCGCAGGTTTGGAAACGTGGCTTTGTTAAGTGAAGCGTAAAAGTCAGTCAGTTTAAGAGACTTGAAGTTCTCCTTGGAGGCAGGGTCGGACTGAAGATTGATCAGTTCCAATTGCAGCTCCTGCGGTGCGGTGTCAGGGTCTTGTGACAGGGGACAGGACACCAGCTGGAGTGACTTGTCAATTTTTTCAAAATCAGAGAACCTACGGTAGAATTCTCTCTGCAGGTCATCCAGTGATTTGCAGTATTTCTTCGTGTTTCGGGTGGCCTCTTTCTGCGTGGCTAGTGTGGGGAAATGAGTGAAAGATTTGTTTGACATTTGTCTGGAGAATAAAATCAGCTTGGATTGGAAGGCTGTCACATTTGTGTACAGGTTATGTACAAACTGATCTTTCCCCTGTAGCTTCACGTTCAGCTCATTCAAGTGTGAGAAAATGTCCACAGCAAACGCAAAGTCACAAAGCCAGTTCTCGTCGATCAGCTCGGGAAATTCTTCGGATTTTTCCTTTAACTCCAAAAACTAGCTTATCTCCTCTTTGAGCTCCCACACTCGTTGCAACACTTTCCCCAAACTTAACCAGCGGACACGGGAGTGGTAAAGTAGGTCCTGATGAGCCGCATCGGTTTCCTCTAAGAACGTAACGAACTGACGATGATTAAGGCCTCTTGCACGTATGAAATTTACAAGTTTAACAACTGGATCCACGACATGATTAAGCTGCAATATAGACTTACACAGAGACTCCTGGTGAATGATGCAGTGAAGGAAAACAACATTCTGCGCAGGGTTTTCCTCTTTCACTTTATCCTGAATTCTTTTAAGCAGCCCGACGTTTTTTCCAGTTAAATTTGGCGATCCATCCGTGGTGACGTTGGCCAGTTTACTCCACGGTAGATTCCTTCTCTCGATGACAGCGGACACCTGTTCATACAAGTCCTCTCCTCGCGTTTTCCCCTTCAGCGACTCCATGCTCAAAAGCTCCTCTGTTATCTCAAAACTCTCATTTATCCCTCGGATAAAAATAAGAAGCTGAGCAGTGTCCTTTATGTCAGTACTTTCATCCAGTGCTATTGAAAATAAAATGAAGTTTCTGGCCTTTTTGTCTAACTCGCTCACTATATCATCATCAATCAGTTCCACACGGCGTGTCACCGTCCTGCGCGATAAACTGACTTTTTCAAACTTCTCTTTGCTCTCCGGACACAGGAGACCTGCGGCCTCGACCATGCATTCTTTCAAAATTTCGCCTTCGGAAAAAGGCTTACTAGCCTTCACCAACTTGAATGCCAGCAAGAAACTTGCCTTGGTACTTGCTTCTTGAATAGCAGTTTGTCTGTGAAAGAGATGCTGCCGAGCCTGTAGCTCAGCTGCCAGCCTCTTTGCAGTAGCAGCCCGTTCTTGCGTTGATTGCTTGCTAGCATAGTTTGCGTGTTTCGTGGTGAAGTGACGGCTGATATTATATTCTTTGAACACCGCAACCGCTTCTTGGCATATCAAACATACAGCTGTTGATCGTACTTCAGTGAAAAAATATTTTGTCGTCCACTCATTATTAAACACACGGCATTCAACGTCCACTTTCCTTTTCTTTGGCCCGCTCATGTTTACAGAAGTACTTGAATAGCAACGGAAAGATAAAGGGAAATAAAGAGGAAAAACAGACACTCCAAAAGGCCCGCCAATGGTCAGCGCGCCATCTATTGGGAAAACGTGGGCATTGCAGAGACAAGATGAAATGAATGACTGATATATATGTATACATTTTTTAATCGGACACGGTCTGCGGGCCGTATTAAAAAGCATGGCGGGCCGTATACGGCCCGCGGGCCTTAGAATGCCCATGTCTGGCCTAGGCCCTGGGGGGGATTATGCGCGCGAGCAAGCGCCGCGCTCAACAGCATCGCTCCCGGGCCTAGGGCCCTAAACAACGCATAAACTTCTAACTGCATTCCCCCTTGTGGGTCTCTCCAAGGTGAAATATGACTCCAAACAGGTCCAACTAGAAGGACTGTGATGATCCAGGACACTTTAACATTCTACAACACGTATGGACATTTATCAACTTTCAAGGACATTGGTCTCTCCCTATGGACCAGTTCATATGTGTATATTGTGTGTTCTAATTGTTGATTCTCTGATCTGTGTTGGTGATTTCAATGGTTTTGTTAAATCTCTGAGATGACTTCTGTTGCGATTTAGGGCTATACAAGAATTAGTTGTTGTTGTTGTCATTAACTCATTGACCGCCATAGACGTATTTGGCTGAGACCGCTGATTTCTGTCAAACTCTCTATTCGAATGAAGATTACAGCAGGACAAAACTAGCTAGATATATAGATGAAAGTAAACAGTCCAATCTTTCATAATCTGGTTTCATATTTTACATAGTCACAGCACTCAATATTCTGTGGGTCTTGAAAATCAGTGAAATCATCAAAAACGGCTGCAATCAGTGAGTCAATTATTATGTATTTGAGTATTTTTTAGTATAGGACACTAGCTCCAAAGTGGGAGTTGGTACGTAATTTTTTTCTGTCAGTATGTTTGCCTTGCATGGATTTAACAAGGACTGTGGTACATTCTACAACATGTATGGACATTTGTCAACATTCATGGACATTGGTCAACTCCATTATGGACCAATACATGGTAAAAAAAGGTATATTTTATGTGTCTTAAATGTTGATTCTCTGATCTGTGTTGGTGATTTCAATGGTTTTCGTAAGTCCTTTGAGATGACTGCTGTTGGGATTGAAGGCTATACAAGAATAAATTGTATTGTATTGTAACATTTTTGGTTCTTCAGTACAAAACGATAATAAGATGGCAGTGCTTTTCTCTTGACATGTTTCGGGGCTGGTGCTCAGTGAGTTGGGTGGCAGCTGATTGCCACCCACCCGACCCAGAAATGGATTAAGGGGAAGAAAATGGATGGATGGATGGAAAATGATTAGCTGCTCTTGTCTCTGTTCAAAGCGTCTGTGCCACTTCTACACAAGTGGTCTGGGCTGGGCTGGGCTGGGCTGGGCTGAGTTGGCCATCACCACCACCAGAGGAATCAAGGAAAATGTTGAAAATCATGCAACAATTTCAATCTGGGAAACTCAAGACAAAGAATGATCTTGAAGTTGTAGCTGTATGTTTAGGCAAATGAAGGAGATAAATGATGTGAAACTATGCACCTATGACATTTGAGACATGAAAAGATCAAAAGGTTTCGGCGAATAGGTCCCAGCAGAAATACACTGAAAAAAGTTAGATCTCGGTAAGATCTATTCACAAACAATAATATAGATTATGCTTTTTTTTATGGCAATTCTATTTTCGAATGTACTTTGTCATGTAAAGTTTATTTTGCTAGTTTTAAGTTAATAAACTTCATAAACTCATCAGAGAAAAAAGTCTCAGCAGTGAGTTTTTAAGCTTGTGTGAACTATTTTGTCTTATTTCCAAAAAACCTTTCTTGTTTAGATAATTACAGTTTGTTATGCCATAGTTTAAGAAAACGTTTCTTACAAATGTTTAAGAAATAAGTGAATTATACATCAAAGGTATATTTTAAATATATAATCAGGTCATTTGGGGCTAGTATTATTTTCTCTTTTTCAGAAATCTTGTCAAGGCACATTTTCTTATTCTATTATTAGATCATTTGGAGCAGGATTTTACTTATTTACATGTAGTTTATTTTTTTTTCAAGGGATTTTTTCCAATGCATGACATAGATCTTGCTTACCATAACGAGTCCAGACCCTGATGATATAATGATTCCTCCCCTGATGATGGGGAGGAGGTGGGTTGCTGCACAAATAGCCGCTGAATACAAGAATACACTAAATGCCAGTCTTCCAAATTGAATTTCCTTTTTAGCTGCATGCTAAAATAAAAAAACAAACATACATTTCAGTCAAAACAAACAGAAAAGTTCAGTCCAGTTTAAATACATTTTCCGTGAAGGTTTTTGAAGGGGTCTGAGCCCTGCTGTGCTGAGGGATTGTAAAATATGGACAGGGTGTTTGGAGAGCAGAAGGGGCTGTTCCACACAGTTGGCTGTCATTTTGGATAATAAGGTGCAACTTTTCTGACCTTGGAAAACAAGTGTAAGGGCTGCTGTTGTGTCTGCTGCCCGGGCAAAGAACCCCACAAGCTACAAACCCCCCCTACCCCACCCCCCTCTGTGATCTCAATTCAGCATTCAGGCTTTGTCTTGTCCCGGTGGAGCATGGAGGTGACCCTTTGTTTATCCATCAACAAACACATATTGTTCTAACTGTTCTGTATAATTCTGTTTTAAAACTATTTGAAAATTGCAAAAACATTGATCTTGATTTTATTATTATTATTATTTTAAATACATGAATCCACATAATATTTGTGCCTCTTTACAGCATCACACCTCACTCAAAACACATCACCAGAAATGGACAATATTAACATTAGTTTATCTTATTTTAATGGGACAATGCACATGAAGTTGACACATTAAACTGATACAATACTCAAAGGTATAGAGGAGGTTTTTCTGCTTCCGGGTGGATCATCAAGACTATTGGTCCATTCATTCTGGTGATACTTGCTCATCAAATCAGCAGAGAGGGCGATACTTTCCTAACATTTGGGCAAACCCTTGTGTATACCTTTAAAATATACTCAAACATGCAGAAGAAAGGCCTCTAAAAACAAAGTTATGCAAAGAAGGGCAATGCAAATCCCTTTTGCAGCTTTGTACTCTATAATCAAGCTGAAATAACATAAGTGGTTGATCTTACACTCTATCTTCAAAGAAACGAGCAGAAATCTATAATTTTATAACAGCTTTGTATATGAAAAATACCTTTGCGACAGAATAAAAAGAACAATGTGTAAATCGCAGCTTAACAAAATGTCACTCTTGACCCTGAACTCCTTCTGCACCTCACTCTTTCAAACAACAGGATTCCGATTGTTCTTTTCTCTCGTTTTCTTCTCAACGATTAAACCACTCCAACCCTCACGGCCCATGCCTTCATTTGCCTCCATCGTTGTTGAAGAGGAGCCACCGTCACTGCGTTCGTCCCACTCTTCCCGCCCTCATCGGACGCAGGAAGAGCCCAGCAGGCTTTGCCCTCGCCGCGGCCCATTAACGTCGTCCCACCGCAGCCGGCGTTTGTCTGAACCACCGCAGTTGATTCTCGATAAGCGCAATCTGTGAATGGAGCTGTGTGGGCTGCCGAGGCTCTCCACAAAGCGCCGGGCAGGGGAAAAAAAGCTGCTTGTTCGCCTTTTGTCTCTGCATTTTGTGGTGCACTTTGAGCTGAGGGCAGTGGCCTCGGTGGGCAGGAGTTTAGCAGCGGACGGCAAGGGCGAAAATTACTCAAAATTGCTCCATAATTGTATGTTTTCATTTGTAGAGTCAGTGAACTTTGTAATAGGTTTATTTATGTTACTGCAGACTCTGAAAGGAGTTATGTCAGCAGTGAATGCTTCTGAAAGAGCTGTATAAAAAAACCATGCATTATTATTATTATTATTACTACTACGCTAGTTTATTCATACACAAGGCAACTCAAAGTGCGGAACAATCAAGACGCAAACGCACAATCATAAAAATCATAAATAATCACAGTACATTAAAAAAACAAAAACATGAAATCCCTCAGTTGTAGCAGCTCAACAGAACTGTTTCAAACCTGGAATCAAACATTGTCAGAAAAGAAGTCTGTCTCACATTTTCAGGAAGATTGTTCTATATTTTAGCAGCATGAATCTGAAATGCAGCCTCCCCATGTTTAGTCCTGACTCTGGGACCAGCAGGACGACAGTCCCTGTGCTCCTCAGAGTCTCAGCAGGGGGCCAATCCCTGTGCTCCTCAGAGTCCCAGCAGGAGGCCAATCCCTGTGCTCCTCAGAGTCCCAGCAGGAGGCCAATCCCTGTGCTCCTCAGAGTCCCAGCAGGAGAACAAGTCCCTGTGCTCCTCAGAGTTCCAGCAGGAGGCCAGTCCCTGTGCTCCTCAGAGTCCCAGCAGGAGGCCAGTCCCTGTGCTCCTCAGAGTCCCAGCAGGAGGCCAATCCATGTGCTCCTCAGAGTCCCAGCAGGAGGCCCGTCCCTGTGCTCCTCAGAGTCCCAGCAGGAGGCCAGTCCCTGTGCTCCTCAGAGTCCCAGCAGGAGGCCAGTCCCTGTGCTCCTCAGAGTCCGGTGCAAGGCCATGGAGAGACTTGTAACAAACAGATGGTGTTTCAAAGCCATTTGCCGGAGATTTACTTTAAATACCTGTTTTGTTTCAGAATGTAGAACATATTTTTTGTCACAAGGAACTTTTCCATTAACTGCAATGATCTTTTTTTTTCATCAAATAAATATCAAACAGTGGGAGAACAAAGCAGTTGTGAAATTGTCTGCTTTGAAAAGAGAATGAGAAGAGGAGATTTCAAAATAAGGATGTATCTTTTCACTCCTGAACAATAAGCACAAGAAAATAAATAAATAACATAGAATTCAATCTGTTTTTGTTCAGCCCTAGATCACAACAGCAGTCATCAGAAGGAAGTTGTTGATTTGCCAACACAGTTCAGAGATTCAAACAGTTGGAACACAAGAAATGTATTTACTGTATATCTGAAACATTGGAGTCATTGGTCCAAAGGGGACGGATGACAAATGTCCATAAATGTCCTCTTATGTCCTGGATCATCACCACTGTCCTGAAACCCTCCTGCATCGCCAAGGAATGACTAAAAAACCAAATGGGGAAAAGTGAGAAACCTCGGGAAGGCCATGAGTCCGGGCCAGAGGTGCAGAAGCAAGAGGCCGGATTCAGGGGTCCCACCACCACGGCGTTTGTTCATAACGGCTGCTGCTGAAATGGATTGTTGTGATGTTTGATTAACCTTGCCACGATTCTTTGTTGGAATCATTGGTAATAATGATGTCATGCCATTGTGATGTTTTGTGTGTATTTGACAGAGTTGGGCTGAAGTAACCAAAGGAAACATACGGGCGGCGTTTTTCATTTTCTACCATGGAAAACAAGACAATTTACACATTACACGTGTGTGTGTGTGTGTGTGTGTGTGTGTGAGAGGATGTATGTCTGTATCATATCAGATGTATGTCAAATATGCATTCAACACAAATGTATAAGTGCATGTAGTAACCACTGCACCTCAGTGGCTAACGGAGATCTAAAGGTGAAGTTAGCGGTGCACTTTATTGATCCCCGTAGGGCAATTCCTCCTCTGCATTTGACCCATCCTGATGCCACTAAGGCATACGTCAGGAGCAGTGGTCGCCGTAGAAACAGCGCCCGGGAACCCATCTCCACACGTTGATCCTCGGTTTGGTCATGACTACCGGAGCTGGAGGATTTAACCTAGTGTGCATGTTTATAGTGGTAGGGGAAACCTGGGCACTCGGAAGAAACCTACGCAAGCACAGGGAGAACATGCAAACTCCACTCAGCCACCGTGCCTATCTTAATAAAGACTAAACTAAACTTTTCATCCATTTAAAAAGATACATAACTCGATCAGATTGGCAAACCTCCACTGTGAGTTCATATATGTTGCATGTGTTTCATTAAAGCTTTTCTCTTCCACTCAAAAAAAGAAACAAAAACCATTCTTCCTGTGGGTCACCTGTGATCTCACCGATATCATGTCCTTGTGATGTTGTCTGCTTGTCTCCATGGCGATAACATCCTCGGGCAAAGCATTAACGTGTCCTAAAAAGTGGCTCCTCCAACAGACGGCAAAGTGTAGAGAGAGGTGATGAATGAGAGCCGTCTGGAAGCTGAAGAGGTAACTACATTTTTGTAACACTGTTGTCCATTTGTTGCCTTATCTATAGTAGAGTGTTTTTTATTTTGTTTTTTTTAGTTTGTAGCTTCCTTCAAAGAAATGTCAACGGGGACCGAGCAATCCTGTCACACAGACAATTTGGACTCAGCATGTGTAAAAGCAAAGCAAAAGTCACCTGTTTCATCGTTCTGAGATCCACTCTGCACTGTCGGCTGTTTATCAGAGGCTCCAGCACCTGTTGTTCTGTGTTCACTGGGTTTGTTCACACTAAAGGCTACAAACATGTGACAGAGGCCAAAAGTTAGATATAAATGATCAGAAGATGTATTAAGTTTTTCCTAATTCCAAATCCCTCTTCTGTCCATTAAAAGTTGCCATAAGAAAACTGTTTGATAAATGAGTTAGTTAGGGCACGATCACATAGGTCGCCACAGGGGTGTGAAAACGGCCCGCGGTCACATGGGCTTGTTCTTTTAACCGTGCCAGAGCAACTGTGCTGTAGTACAATGCTCGGCCCAGCTGGTGGCGCTATTACTAACTCCAGCGACGACCTCCTTAGGGTTCATTTCTCTTCCTGTTTACATTCTGCTACTGTAGCTAACAACTCGAGTACGGATCGCGTTGTTTAGGGAAAGACACATCTCACACTGGACCACATTGCTCTGATGCAAAGTGCAGCAGTTCAGTGGGTAACGTGTGTGTGCCCACATCCTTCTGTACAATTCTGTTTTAAAACAATTTGAAAATTGCACCAATAGATTATTTATTAAAACACAGAAGATTTGTGACCGCCTCTTTACAGAATCACACCTCACTGTAAACACATCACAAGGAATGGAAATTGGTTTAGTTTCTTTTTTTATTTGATGGGACAATGCACAGACACATTAAGCTCATAAAATACTCTATAAAACAAAGTGAAGAAGGACAATAGAAATCCCTGTAGCGTTGTACGCCATAATCAAGCTGAAAAAACATGAGTGGTTGAACTATCTTTCAGTCTATCTTCAAAGAAACAAGCAGTCTTGTTTATTATAAATCTATAATATAATAACGGCTTTGGGATAAATATGATAACACCTTTATGAAAAATAAAAAGAACAATGTGTAAATCACGGCTTAACAAAATTAAACACCTGACCCTGAAGCCCTTCTGCACCTCACTCTTTCAAACAACACTAACCAGTTAGTACTGTGATGGGAGACCTCTGGGAACACCAGGGGCCACAGTGGGGCGGCTGCAAATGTCATACTCTGGTTGTGTCCTTAAGCAAGACACTTCACCCACATTAGAATGAGTCTGGTGTGTGTGTGAATAGCTGGTGGTGGTGGGAGGGGCTGATGGCACAGACTGGTTGCCTCACTTCTGTCAGTGTGCCCCAGGGCAGCTGTGGCTACAGTAGTAGTTTATCACCACTGTGTTTGGAGTGAAAGATTAATAACATGTGAAGTGTCTTTGAGTGTCCTGAAAAAAGCGCTGTTTAAAACCAATTTAGGTATTCACCAAATATTTAATGTGTTTCTTTTACACTTTTCAATAATAGCGTATTTTATTCTTGTCTTAAGTTACATGATAGAACTTGGGTGCATGTAAGTTAACATTCGTAGTCCTCAGCTCAAGCTTGGTCACCCACACCCAAGTAGCTTTAGCCACAATCCCATTAATCGCATTAGCCCTCGAAGGGGAAGGGGACGACTTGGATTAATTGGCCTGCACTATGCAAAGCAGGCGATCGTAAGAAGAATCCAATAACATCACAAAGAGAACCGATGTCTGCTTACAAAAAATAATTCTGCTGTCACCCCTTTAGGAATAAACAATTTCATGCAAGCCAACTCCTTATACACAGTGTGGTTTTACAATGAATTATCGCCACATGTCCCCGTATGCATACATTAACGGGCGGAATGCCAATAGCTTGTTTTCTCTCTGTCACAAATGTCAAAAGGATTTCAACGTTCTCCTCTATCACTCACTTCTCATTTGTCGAGTTTCAAGCTGTACTAATGCTTCCTATATGTCCCCTCTGGCTTCCCATACATCAGTGAAGCCCACGGGAGGAGTTCTGAAAGGGGAGATCATTCATTATTGAAGCGTCGAAAGAAAAGGAGTGAGGTGGGAGCACTCTCGCAGCCATATTTCTGTGGATCTACAGAGAGACATCAAGGTTAATGTGCCGGCCTGGGATTTGACTTTACTATTTCAAAGTTTTGGAAAATATGTGAATCTTTTTTTGCATACTGGCACCCCTATTGTCTGGCAAGACCCACACCATTGGGGCGGAAATGTGCAGCCTTGGTTTTGTTAGTCTACCCCAGGGCAGCTGAGGATACAGAAGTGAATTCTAACTGTAGAGTATAGTTTGACAGGCTGGTTGAGCTTAAAAATCCCATGCTCTGTTGGTATTTAAAAAGTGTTCTTACTATGATCTTATTTGTCTTACTTGCTACTCTCTCCAGGGCAATTGTGTTCAAATGGCTTTATATAATGTGGATCACAGTTATTTTTTGTGAGAATTTAAACTTTTTAAACATCCATCCATCTATATTATCTTCCGCTTCATTTATTGATATTAATCTATTTAGAGGATAAGCCCCTTGAGATTAATCATCTTGTTTTTAAGGGGGTCCCAAGTTTTTACAAGGTGACAGATGCAGAAAAACAGAAGTAAACAAAACAAAAATACGAGAAAAAAACCAAAAAAAACCGAAAAGCTACCAAAAAAAAAAACACACTTAAACCCTCAATCACTCACACTCTCAAACACACAGACACACACACGCACGTACACACACACGCACACACACGCCATGACTGAACTGTAATTACAATAAATAGAAATAATAATATTAATAGTAATAATAATAATGAATCCGTTGGAACCATGTTATGACAATCCCAGATGGAATGATAAGCAGCCATTCTCAAAAACATACATGTCATGTTTTCTACTTTACCCAGTCTTTCAACTATTTGGCCATTTTTCTGAGACTATGAACGATTTTGTGAAGCTATTTGTTGAACTAAAACATCTTTTCTATTTCTAAATCATTATGGCAACATCGACTTCTCAAATGATCGTTATTAGAAGCGTACATCTCCCAGTTCCCGAGATTCTCCTCTCTGATGGAAGCTGCTCGTTATTCTTGGTAAAAAAAAAGCTGTCAGTTATTAAATTCATCATTCAGAGCTTCCACCCAATCTTCATTAACCTGACTCTCGCCAGATCCTTGTAGTTCGTTGAGGCTCACACAAGGGTCTGGGATTTCTCAATTGTAGATAAATTTCAAAAGGTGCGGCCTTAGAAAAGTCCTTGTATGTGATTGGATAAACCACTTGTCTGTTTTCTTGAAGGACATTATACTTCAGTCACGAAGCACACGACTCTTGCTATCGCCGCTATTCTTGTTTCAATCAGGCAGTCGCTTTGGTGCTATGTAACATCTATGAAATCCTGCCTGGGGATCTTGATTGGTTCATTATTTTTTGCATTTTGCATTGCCCCCGATTCTAGATCCTTGTGCGGAGCTCAGTGAAACGCCTCTAGTGGTGAAACATGGCGGAACTACATGGATCTGGCGAGAGTCAGGTTAGCGTATCCCCAGTTCCTGATATTCTCCTCTCTGATGGTAGCTGCCCAATATTCTAGGCAGAAAAGCTGCCAGTTATGGTAAATCCCTGGCCCGCCTTGGATGCACTGCACATTTGAGACCTCCCAGAGCAGCTCAATGATTATATAATTTGAAAATACACAACTCATTTGACAATACAGGACGTTACACAACCACTATTGATGATTGAGGAAAGTGTTACGGGCGGCACGGTGGCTGAGTGGATAGCAGTCTCGCTTCTCAGCAAGAAGGTTTTGGGCTCGAATTCCGGTCGGAACAGGGCCTTTCTGAGTGGAGTGCGCATTTTCTCCCTGTGTCTGCGTAGGTTTCCTCCGGGTACTCCGGTTTCCCTCAACACCAAAAACGTGTAATAATGTGTAATAGTACAGGGTGAATGAGTGCGTGTTTGTGAGTGCAAATGTGGGACAACGGATACAAATTAGCGCATTGCTACAATCCAGAGAGATGTGTTCATTAACATGTACTGTCCCAACTAAATTTGCATCCCCTTTATTAATCCCTTTCTGGGTTGGGGGCAATCAGAGCTAAGATAAGATAAGATACACCTTTTTTGTCTTCCATAGGGGTCTTGGGACAAGGGTTCACATGCTTTACACCACATACATCTGCAAACACCACAGTAGACAATAAACGTTAAGTAAAAGCACCTTCAGAGACCTTTAGGACCATAGATAAACAGTTAGTGACAGGACATCAAAACACCAATCTTGCACATGTAAAATCTAGCTGCACCCGATTCTCATAGCAATAGTGGCAAAAGTGAGAAACCTAAAAATGTGTATATACATTTTTTTTTTACTTCCACACAGACAGAGGAGAGCAGTATTCACAGTCTCCACAACACTGCCTTGTCAAAGCTGGACAAACAGCCTACCGTGTGATCAATGAGGTGGTTCTGGGACTCGCAGCTATGACAACACAAAGCCACCCCATATATCTGGAAATGCCTGCAATAACAAACTGCTATGAATAATGCGGAGAGTACAGTATACAATAAATAAGAAATGAGTTTGTGGCGTCCGACCCTGTGTGTCTTTCACCCAGCCATGGCGATTTCAAAAGGTTGCACATTCATCAAAAGGTTGTCCAAACAGCAAGAAAGGTCATGCTGGATGTCCTCGCTCTTCCTTTGGTGCCAATCAGATGGATAATGGAAAACAGATGTCTACATTGATACAATACTGTACCTATGTTTAGCCTCCAGAAGAGTCTACAGCAACAAACATTGGACATTGAATTATTGTAACCACCCAATTCAATTTTTTATTTTTTTTCCCAATATCACAACAGTAGTTTTCTCAGAGGACTTAACAAAACCGTTAAAAACGCTGACACAGATTAGAGATTCAAAAAGCTCCAACACAAAGTAATTAAAGACCTTATGCTGGGTTTAAAAAAAAAAAATTGTGGATATCAAAATTGCATGACAATGTCGATCTGAAATAGATTCCGGCAAAAAAAAATCCTATATTTTATAAAAAGAACGAGTTTTTCATGAATTTAAGTTGTCTATGCTCTAACCTGTGTGTGACGTCATAGCGGGTAACGCCCATGCATTGAAAACCATGGATCTATGCCACAGGACTGCCTTTTCTCTCTTCTCTCCACTGATGCCCAACACAATACTGCCCTCAATTAAAATAAAAAATAAAACAATTGCTCACTACACATAAATTGCCGTTTTGAGAGTGAAAATGTGAGGTGGGATTTGAACCCCCAATATCTGGATTGGCAGTCCATCAACACAACCACTGGACTATCTCAGTGCAAATGAAATGTTACAATCTAGTATTTATGTCAGACTCGCTGTACACGGCCTTGTCATCTTGAATATCCGCGAAAAAAGAACGAATACCAAATTGTAAACAACTTACAGCGTTGAAACGTACCCACTCTGACGTCACCAAGGACTGTGAAGTTTTTTCGTCTCTAAGGGCGTTGCTATGGGGTTATTTCGATTTGGGGGGATCAGACAAAAAAAACAACAACTGATTTTGAAACCTTTAGTAGTTCTCTTCTAATATAAAATGGTATTAAAACTGTATTTCTAAATAAATCAAACCCGGCATAAGGTCTTTAAAAGTCAGTAAGTAAGTAAGTAAGTAATGTTAATTTATATAGTGCATTTTACAGACCAAGGTCAGACCCAAATCACTCTGAGCACTACCATGCTCAGAGTTCAGATATTGTTCCAATCCTTCCACACACACAAACAAACTGGACCATCAGCTCCAATCAACACAATCCGTTCACTCTCTCATCTACATTCAGACCTAGTGTGCATGTTTTTAGTGGTAGGGGAAACTGCAGCACCCGGAGGAAACCTGCGCAGACACAGGGAGAACATGCAAACTACATACAGAAAGGCCCTGTTACGACTGGGATTCGAATCCAGGACTTTCTGTATACAAAGAATATAGAACACATGGTATTGGTCTATAGGGAGTTGACCAATGTCCACAAAAGTCGATAAATGTTGTCGACTTTTCGGCCTCTGTTTCAAAATAATCTCCGTTTCTCTGATGATAATATGTATTAGATTGAGATTTGATTTGCCATTTGCAGTAAAACCACATTGGAATAAGTCCCCAGTGTGCACCAGACAAGTACATACATAAAAATAGGTTAAAAGTACAGAAATAAAACAAAACAATTGTCACAGTGAAATCAATCAACAAAAAACAGTTTCAATATAAATGCAAGATTATCTAAGTGCTTTGTTTAAACTGATATTAGCTTGTGTGTGTGTGTGTGTGTGTGTGTGTGCGTGTGTGTGTGTGTGTGTGTGTGTGTGTGTGTGTGTGTGTGTGTGTGTGTGTTGTTGATTCTCTAACAGGTGCCAGAGTGGGGTGGCTGCGACTGTATAGTGCCAAGCTTTTGATGTATCCTTAGGCAAGACACTTCACCCGTATTGCCTAGAATGAGTCTGGTGTGTGAATGGCAATGAACGGACACAGCCATTGGTCCACAGGGAGCAGGATGACCACTGTTCGGAAAAGTTTATAATGTCCGTAGATGTCGTGAATCATCACTGACCTCCAGGAGTCAGGCTGTAGAACAACGACTGAGGCATAAAGAGCGTTGAACAGGCATTTTTGCTCAAATGAAAGAGGTTGCTGATCGCTAACTTGATCTGCGGCCATAGCAAAGCTTACAGGGCCTTTAACGTGAGGTTTATTCTGCTAGTGATTTTGGTGATGTGTGAATTTGCGTCATATTACATGGTTTTATATCAATATTGAGATGAGCCACTTATGCCTTTTGAGAAGAAGCATGAAAAGTATAATCAAACACATTTCATTCATAAATGTGCTTTACCCAGGCCTGTCAGAGTCCCCAGGTGAGTGATCATGTAGTGGCTGATGGTGTGTCAGGCCAGAGAGTCGAACATGCTGCTGAGCGCCAAGGCCCCAGCTGCCGTCCCGAACAAATACTCCAGAATCAGGTTCCAGCCAATGAAGAAGGCCACGAACTCCCCCACGGTGACGTAGCTGTAGGTGTAGGCTGATCCCGTGGTCTTTGGGACGCGCACACCCAACTCAGCGTAACACACACCTGAACATACATCACACAGCATTCTTTTTTAACCATATACTACCCAGACAAGTGAGTCTGCATGTATACTGAGACAAGAGAGGTCTGAGTCTGCATGTATACTGAGACAAGAGAGGTCTGAGTCTGCATGTATACTGAGACAAGAGAGGTCTGAGTCTGCATGTATACTGAGACAAGAGAGGTCTGAGTCTGCATGTATACTGAGACAAGAGAGGTCTGAGTCTGCATGTATACTGAGACAAGAGAGGTCTGAGTCTGCATGTATACTGAGACAAGAGAGGTCTGAGCTGATGAGCCTCTGCCATATGCTATGCTGCGGTGTGCTGGGCCCCGGGCAGCACAGAGAGGGACAGGAGTAGACTGAACAAGCTGGTCAGGAGGGCCAGCTCCACTCTGGGCTGTCCCCTGGACTCTGTGGTGAAGGTGAGGGACAGGAGGCCCCTGGACTCTGTGGAGGAGGTGAGGGACAGGAGGTTCCTAGACTCTGTGGAGGAGGTGAGGGATAGGAGGTCCCTGGACTCTGTGGAGGAGGTGAGGGACAGGAGGCCCCTGGACTCTGTGGAGCTGAGGAGCTCCTTCAGTGGAAGAACGAGCGCTACCACAGGGCCTTGATCCCCACTGCTGTCAGACTGTACAATAAGTCAATCTAAGTCACTTGCATTAGGACTGAAAAAACCTGCACTACTTATTGAAACCTGACTGCCACTTTTGAACACTTTTTATTGTACATAATATATCCTGCATTCAACATGTTTGCACATTTCTTTCTTTTGCACAATCTTGAGTGTTTCTGTCCATGCCAGATGTGACATGTACATTTCTCCAGTGTGAGATCAATAAAGTCTATCTTATCTTATCTTAAATGTAGTTCTACAGTTGATTAGCACAGGTTTAACTATATTGTATAAACTGTATGTATTTTAAACGTATACAATGTCAAGAATAAAACACACCATATCTACTCTTTAGTCATTGCTCTCAAAACACAGCTAGCCTGTATGGGGATTGATCCCACATCCTTGGCATTATTAGCAACACGCCCTTTCCAACTGAGCTGATCAGCCTTTGTATCATCAATTTTTGAGAGCAATGTGCATTCATCAAACCTCAAGTTCTATTTATGTATTTTCACAGTTGATGAATCTATCTTTATCTCATTTTTATTATGAACAAAGGTAAGCAGGGACTTCTAGACCAGTGTTTTTCAACCACTGTGCCGCGGCACACTAGTGTGCCGTATGATATTGTCTGGTGTGCCGTGAGAAATTCGTCTACTTTGTCTAAAAATAACTGCATTCGCTGTTGACGAGCGGTGACTTGTTTTGAACTGTGGAGTAACCATGTAATACTTTTTCAAATCAGTAGATGGCAGCAGATAGCTAAGTACTTTGAAACTGAAAAATTGGATGCGACCACTGGCTGTAACAGGTCAGCATTTTGGCGAGAAAGGTAAAATTGGATGCGACCAACAAATGTGGGAGGGAGCGAGACAAGAGCTTTGTGGCGAGTGAGAAGTGAAAGTGATAGAGACGTTTTTGAAAATGAATTATGCCGTTTCTGAACAGGATTAACATCCTCCGCTCTGCCCCGGGGCAGCTGTGGCCGCGTTGTAGTGGTTTAACTATGAAATGTACAATTTTTGTACAACAGCTCTCGCGAACGCACTTCTGAACTGGGTACCGAGCGCAGACCATAGTCGAGTGGACAGAACCACAGACATGCGGACCGGACAGAACCATGGACTCGCGTTCAGGACCTCCCGTGTCCCTCATCCAAAACTCCTGAATTTAAAGCTCGGATACCTAAATTGTTCCCATGCACTAACAATGCATGTTCTTTGTGTGAGTTATTATTTGACTATTTGGGCAGAGAGTGCATTTTCTTAGTTTTTTCCACACAGTTAGTGCCACTTTATTCCCAAACTCTTGTTAATTGTATCGAGAAATATTAAATAAAGCTTAATGTCAAGGCCAGGACTTAAGCATTTTGATGAGAATAACTGTATATTGTGAATATAGGCTACAGAGTATACTGTATACATTATAAGATAAGATAAGATATACTTTATATATCACACAGAGTATGTACAGTATATATTTTTACATTAGTACTGTATACATTTTTACATTTTCTCCTGGAGGTGTGCCGCAAGATTTTTTCAGTGAAAAAAGTCAATAACTTTCCAATTGCACCTGTTTTCCTTTGGCATGATCTTGTTGATATTCAAGGGAAAACACATGGCAAGGTGGGGGCTTACAATAAAAAACATGCAGTAAATTAAAAAAAGGCCTAAAGAACCCTTTCGCGTTTTTGATGCTATGAGCACTTCACCCCAGTTCTTTGTTCACTTGACTGGCCCTTGGCTGGAATGTGATTCTTCACAAATCACATTCAAAGTGAGTTAGCAGTCACTTTTAATTAAATTTTGTTAATTTTTTACTTATTTTGTAATTATCTTGTGTGTTCAATCCATATCTATTATAATTTTCATAATTAATATCCTTTATTTTCAATGAGGATTCTTTGCCAACATGTAAAGTAGCTGCAAAAAATTGCCACGGTAACAGAAGCATGGAATATTCTATCATCATGGCAACAGGGATTCCATTAGAATCATTACGTCATCAAAGCTGCTGTGTGTGTGTGTCTCTCTGTGATTCGTAAATAAGGTCAGACAAAAAACGGACTAAACGGATTAAACGAAGTAAACGGAGTAAACTGAGCAAAATGGCGTGTTTTAGAAGGCAATCAAAGAAAGACAAGCTGATTGAAAAGCTTGAAGACGATGTGATCGTGTTGGAGAAAAAACACAAGAGTCTTTTGGAGGACCTGCAGAGGGAGAAAATGCAGAGGAATGAAATGGAGAAGACTCAACTGGAAGAACGTCGCCAACAAGAGGAGCAACTGATCCAGCTCCAGACAGAGAGATCTGCCTTGGAGACTGCTCTGTTGCAGGCGGAAAAGAGATCTACCTCTACTCAAGAAAAACTGGATTCTACCATTCAGGAGAAGACAGCTATCCAAGAGGAACTGCAAAAGGCCCATGAGGACATTGAGGCCTTGGACATTGCAATGAAAACGTCTGCTAAAAAGACAGACGCAGTGATTGGAGAACTGCAGAATGAGCGTTGTCAACAGCAGGAGAAAGTGAGCCAGCTCCAGACTGAGAAATCTGCCTTGGAGACTGCCCTAATGCAGTCAGAGAAGAACTGTACTTCTATCCAAGACAGACTGAATTCCACCATTCAGGAGAAGACAGCTATCCAAGAGGAACTGCAGAAGGCCCATGAGGACAATGAGGCCTTGGACATTGCAATGAGGACGTCTGCTAAAAAGACAGACGCAGTGATTGGAGATCTGCAGAATGAGCTTGTGCATGTCAAGTCTGAGAACAATATGACGATAGACTGCCTGAAATCTCGCATACAAGAAGGCGACTGTTTCATAAACAAGCTCAAGACCCAGATGCAGGACAGAGAGACGGCAAATACCCGTCTGGAGGAAAGTCTGGCAAGCACCCAAAAGGAGTTGAAGGAATGTAGCACAAATTTCCTTCTGAAAAACTTTGAAATTGCCAAGATGGAGGAGGAGAATGGGAAACTCACAGCTCTGTGTCAAAGGTTCAAGACAAAAATACTGGATATGGAACAGCAGCTGAAAAACTTGCACGCTGCGTTGGAGAAAAGTCTTCTTGTGGCCCAGGAAAAATCAAAAAATGAGGTGGAGGATGTCAAGAGGACCTGTGAACACTCCATTCAAGAGCTGAGGAAGCAGGAGGCCAACGCAAACGAGACAATTAAAGAGTTGAAGACCAAGCTCTTGCGTCTGGAAAAGCATTCTGAAGACATGAAGAAAAAGTGGGAGGAAGAATGCAAGGAGGTGCAGAGGATGAAGCAAAGTCATCAAGAAAAGATTCCGCCGGCCGCACTGGGCGGAGAAGAGGACCACACCGAGAGAACCGCTGATGTTCTGGTAATTGGCAGCTCTATTGTAAGAGATGTTGAGATCCCAGGGGCCACTGTTCTGTGCTACCCTGGGGCCAGGATGGGTGACATTGAGGGGAATCTGAGGGTCCTGAACCAAAGCAAGCAGCGTTTTCGTCTAGTCGTCGTTCACGCGGGTGGCAATGACGTTAGGCGGAAACAAACAACAGCAGAGATGTTGAAGGTGCAGGTTGCCGCCGTTTGTAATCTGGCGAGCACAATGGCGGACACGGTTATCTTGTCTGGTCCCCTTCCTAGCACCGGCAGTGAAGAAGCATACAGCAGCATGTTATCTTTCCATCGCTGGCTGTCTGGTTGGTGCCCTCAACATGGTGTTGTCTTTGTTGACAACTGGAGCACCTTCTTGGGAAAGCCCGGTCTCATGCGCCCAGATGATGTCCACCCAACATTGAAGGGTACAGCCCTTTTGATCAAGAATATGGAAATGACTCTAAGTTCTCTGACTCGCTCAAATGACAGTCCGCCACAACTTCTGAGTTCCCACCAGAGAAGAAGACAAAACCTCCGAGTGCAACGCTGGTAAAAACACAACAATGTGTTGTGTTTAGGCCAAACCAGCCACCACAGGTCACAATCAACACAACCGGACAGAAACCAAAACCGAAGAAGACACCAATACCAACAAATTCCTTTAACTCCCAACTCCCATTACCTAAAGTCTGATAGAACTTTTCCACAATGACAACATAGACTTCCAAACAGCAAATTCCAAAGTGTTAAATTCAGATCCCTACTCAGCGAAAGGATTTGTAAGTACTCTTTTTATATACAGCTTATCTTTTGTAAACCTGCATAAATAATTTTCAATACTTTTTTTGTTCTAAAGGAGCACCTTTATGACCCTCTGGGTGGGTCTGGTTACCTGCAATGGTTAAGTTAACCCGAAAAGGAAGCGTTGGCTAAAACTTAAAGACCAGCTATTCGGAGATGACTGCCAAGAAGCTATAAAGATGCTGACTCTCTAAACACGTCAAGCGATCACAAAGGATACTTTTCAATCGCCATTTTCTAGTACATGAGCAACAAGGCTCTGTCTCTCTTTTGGATGTTTTTTCCAAGATTACTTGACACACCAGATTTAGTAAGTATATATTACTTTTTGCTTTATTATTTCCACTTCAGTCATAATATAATTCATCATGTCTTCTAGATTAACCAAGACTTTGAGATTATGTTTGGCGGAGATTTTGCTGATAGTTTTGTCTCTAAATGGTCGACTTTATCAAACCAAGGATCCTCGCTGAAAGTCTGGTAAGTTTCTGCTTTGCTAGAATAAAAACCGGATCTCCAGTGGGGAGCTTTAGTATAGCCTGTAATGGGCATCGCCACATGCTGAATTGTCTTTAATAAATGTATCTGTTATTGTAACATACGTATCTGTTTTTGTAACACTTTGTGTTTTCCAGGATTGGATAGCGACATGCTGTTGGTCACTTGCTTCCACCAATTCCAAAAGGATATAATCGAAGTGGCAAGTGGAGCTCACCTCAAGCTATTGACGACCTTGTCAAACATCTGCAGGTACGTTGGTAATATTGAAAGAAACATTCTTTAAAGTTCTCTACTTGTGTAATTTTTTGTTTCCTTTGTAACCATTTATATCTATTTTAAGTATGTTTAAAAAGTAACGATCCTCACTATTTTACAGATTGGAGCCTTGACTCTTTTCTTGCTGGGGTGGAGCCTGGACAACCGTTGCTTTTATGTGTTGGTGATGGGAAGCACAACATCCAGATTTTCTACATGGTCGTTGACCATAAGGTGCTCCATACCAGCCACAAACACTTTGTGCGATGGATGAACTCTTCAAGGTGCACTTCATCTTCAGTTGGAACTGTGCAGAGTCGCTCAAAAACTTTTAAATCTACAAACAGACAACGGTCTACAACATAGACTTTGGACAAGTGAAGGAAAACCCCAGAGTCAAAGAGCTCAGAGCAAGGATCCAAAATGCGGAGCTCCAAGGAATCATCTAAAGAGTCTGGACAATGTTTATGTTCCTTCTGTAAAGGACAACATTCCAGTTCTGCAGCACTCTGCCAACATTTAAGGCACAGTCATGGACTATATCCACACAAACATTTGAGAATCAGTTGTGGACATTTAAAAGGCATCTAGCCATTCGTCATAAGTTCTAGTTATAATCTATAATTTAGGCTGTATGGATAAAGGGATACAGGGATATTTGTGATGAGTCAACATTTAAATCACATTAATTATTCTGAAAATCAAACTATGCTCTCCAAATTCAACTTTATTATGACGGGCGGCACGGTGGCTGAGTGAATAGCACTCTCGCCGCTCAGCAAGAAGGTCCTGGGTTCAATTCCTGATTGGAACTGGGCCTTTCTGAGTGGAGTTTGCATGTTCTCCCCGTGTCTGCGTAGGTTTCCTCCGGGTGCTCCGGTTTCCCCTACCACTAAAAATATGCTCAATAGGTAAAATCCTCCAGCTCTGGTAGTCCTCATCAAGCCTATAGTATCATTATCTAGAGATGGGTTCCTGGGCGCTGTTACTACGGCGACCACTGCTCCACATCAGGATGGGTCAAATGCAGAACTCATTTACATTTAGAGACTAATCCTTTGGGTTCCAAGAAAGGGATACACAAACTAGGTGCTACAGTGGGGCGACTGTAAACTTGTCGTTGTGCCCTTAGGCAAGACACTTCACCCACATTGCCTTGTATGAATGTTGTGCGTGTGAATGATGGTGG